ACAGCAGCGCACGGGCCAACAGGCAGCACAACAGCAGCAGCAGCAGCAGCAGCAGCAGCAGCCGCAGCAGCCAGTGAAGAGCAAACAGAAGCAGCAGCAGAAACAGCAGCAGAAACAGCAGCAGCAGCAGCAGCATCAAAAGCAACAGCAACCGAGCAAGCACCACAATGGAAAGCAGCCAGGCAAGCACAATAAGCAGCAAAAGCAGCGAAAACACCAGAAACACCCGCAACAACAACAACAACAACAACACCAACAACAAAAGCAGCAGCAAGAGGTGCAGGTGGTGCCACCAACACCAACGAGTACAAGCAGCAGGAGCAGTAGCGGCAACGTGAATGACGAGGCAACCCCACCACGCGGTGGCAAGTCATGGGCTGCCGTGACGAAAGGGAAGCACGCGAAACAGAACGGTGTGCACCTGCAGCAGGAGGAGCAGCAGAACGAACAGCACGGGCAGCAGGAGGAGCAGCAGAACGAACAGCACGGGCAGCAGCCACAACAGCAGCAGCAGCAGCAGCAGCAGCAGCAGCAGCAAGGTGTGGAGGCAAGTTCAGAGGGGCAGCCAGACAAGGCAGTGTGACGAGTGATGTACACTTCACGCTTGCCCTTAACACCCCAACCCCCAACCCCCTTTTCCTGTTTCAATGCATTTCATAGTGCCTTCATGTTCCCTGTTTCCGTTGCTTTACTGTGGTCTGTCTCTCTCGTGCTTGTTTCTGTCCGAGCCTACCGCGCGTTGTCTGTGTTGCCTGTCTTGTCCTCGCGACCATGTTAGAGCCCCATTGTCACCTTCAAGTTTGCAGCATTGCGTGCTGGCTTGTCTTCATTCATTGTCGCTTCATCTTCCGTCATCGACGTTCCTGTTTGTTCTTCCTGCTCGCCTCCTACTCCCCATCTTCGTCGCAAGTCCAGCACCAAGCGCTCTGCTTGCTTCTTTGCTTCTTTTCCCTTGGCAGTGCCCAACATCACCATCATCATCACCACCACCACGGTTACCGTGCCAATTCCTCCCCTCCCCCTTCTTTTTGTTTCTTTTCTTTCTTTCATTCATTTTTGTTTCCCATGCTCTCCTGTTCACATTTGTACCGTGTACATATTTATTTCTTTGGGCTTGGCGACAGCACCGACAAGAACGCCTCCTGTGCACACGTGATGGTGGTTGCGGTCCATGTGAGAATATGACATGAGCTGAGCGGTGCACCATCGACCACGCTTTCATCCTTTGTCCCTCAACTCCTTGCAATCGTCATCCATCCCCACCCCCTTGGAATCCTTTTTTTGTCGCTCTTTCTCTTGTGACCTCCGCCCCCCTCCCTTCTCTTCCAATCCCCCCTTCCTCCACACCAAGCTAGGCCAGAGCTCCCCAAACCCTTCCTTTGCTGTTGCCGCCCCAAACAACAACAACAACAACAACAACAACAACAACAACAACAACAACAACAACAACAACAACAACAACCGCTGTGGCACACCACACCCCCTAAATCGTCCTCTCAACTTATCATCCTCACGCCATCAAGTGCTGCGCTGTCACGCATCACATTACCTTTGGCAGTTGTACGTTTCCAATCTGCCTCATCTTCTTCTTTCCTTCCTTCTGCTTCTGCAGCAGCTTGCGTTTCCGTGTGATGTCCCCTCCATAGCATTTTGCTGTCACGTCCTTCCGCAACGCCTTGACTGTTTCCCGCGCAACAACACGCCCTTTCATGCTGGCCTGTATCGCAATGTCAAACAGTTGCCTGTGTCATGTGCACGCGCGATGTGTGTGTGTATGATGAACGTGAGCGCGTGTATGTGTGTGCATTGACCATTGTGGTGTGTTTGTGATATGTTTTGTATTTTGTCGTTGTAGATGAAGAAGTCCTTAGCGCCGTGTGTGTGTGTGTATGTGTGTGTGTGTGTGTATGTGTGTGTGTGTGTGAAGGTGCAATCCCCATGTCATTAGCCATCCTATCTCTGGCATCACGTCTCGTGTTCCTACTCTTCTTCCTGTCTCCGTCAGTCTCCTCCCTGCTCCTCTCAATGTGTAGCTGTGTCTGTCGTCTGTCGAATACAGCGTGTGCGTGTGCAGATGGTGCACAAGTCTGTGCTGTGTAGAACACTTGTGGATGTGGTGCGTGCTGTGCATGTGTCTGTCTTGCGTCTCATGTGTGTGCCGTACATGGACGTCAACCTTTCACCAACACAATCGCATCCCCCACCCCGCACGCCTATTCGCCACCCTGCCAACCCGACCCTGCGCGACTGCACCTGGGGATAGTTTCCTTGAGCCGTTTGCACAGCGCCTTGCCGCGCGGGAACCCACGGCTGCTGTGCACAATCGCCGACAGCGCGTCTACGGGTTCGCCGTTGAGCAGCAGCTGCAGCTTGACAAGGTCCGCCGCCTCGTACCCAAGCTCCTCGTAGTCGAACGTCGCATACCCGCTCGAACACGCCTTCACCTGACGGGCGTGTTGCATGGGTTTGTTGATGCATTGGTGGTGATGGTGTCATGAGTGGAGGGTGAGTGGACGTACACATGTGTGCATGTGCGTGTGTGTTTATGTGTGTGCGTGTGTGCGTGCATGTAGAACATGTCTTCTCTGTGCTGTATGAGCTTAGATACAAAAGAGAAAATAAACCAAACCTTCTATCTCCTTGCAATGATTGTCTTGCACACACACACCACACACACACACACACCACACAACACAACACAACACAACACTTCAAAGCACAAAGCACACTCACACTACACAACAAGATTTCAACGAGTTTGGCTCAACAAAGGGAGAACACACAACACAAAACAACACAAAACACACCTGGTCGTAAAAGTTTTCGATGACCTCTGCGAGCGGGAGTTTGTACTGCAGAATGACGCGATCCCCCTCCATGTACCGCATGCTCTGATCACGCGCATGGCGTCATCGTGGTGGCCACGATGGCGGTGGTGGTGTCAGAGTGAGTTGGTACAAAAGTACGGTCACAGAGAGAGAGAGAGAAAGCCAAACAGCTCCTCTCCCCCTCCTCCTTCTTCAACGTCCATTACACAGGTCTGGAGTGCATGTGTGCATGTGTGCATGAGTGTGCATGTGTGTGCGCGTACCCGCTGCTCGCCACGACGTGATTCGCAGAGGGAAATGAGTGCGCCCGTGTACTCCTGCGGAAACACAAGCGTGCCCAGCACCATGGGCTCCTCAAAGTGCGAGATGGTGTGCAGCTCATCCTGGGTTGGAAAGTGCGATGGCGTCTGCATGTCAATGGCGGTCCCGTCTTTCAGCACTTTGCGGAACGACACACTCGGCGAGGTCAGCAGCGTCTGCACACACACACACACACACACACACACACACACACACACACACACACACACACACACACACACACACACACACACACACACACACACACATGTGGTGATGTAGACGTGGAGACGGTGGTGGGGGGAGGATGGGATGTGATGATGGTGGGTTGGAAGTGCGTACATACACATGTGAGAGATGCACAAGTGCAGCTATTGGAGCATCCACATACACAGACACACAGACACACATACACAGACACACACACACAGACACACACACAGACACAGACACAGACACACACAGACACACACACACAGAGACAGCCCACCTGAGTTCCATATTCTTGTTCGAGGCGCTGTGAGAACACCTCCATGTGCAGAAAGCCGAGAAAGCCAAGGCGCCAGCCAGGGCCTGCAGTGGAAGTGGTGGGTTTGAAGAGAGAGAGGGGGGGGGGGTGTTGGGATGGGGACGTGAGGTGGTGAGGGAAAAGGGAACATGCAACTGCTTAGGGAGTGTTGTCCAGCATGCACGACAGCGTGACCGATGGTTCACAAGCCGAACGCACTGCATCATGCATGTCCACCACCACCACCACTGCCAACGGACCGAGTGCCGGGCTGACGTCGCGGTGGATGGTGACGGCGGGATCGTTGAGTGTTAAGCGCTCGAGCGCAGACGACAGCGGCTCATAGTCCATCTGTGTGCACACAGGAGGGGTGAAGTGGTGGTGGTGGTGGTGGTGGTGGTGGTGGTGGTGGTGGTGGTGAGGGCGTGGGCGTGCAAGCAAGGAAGTTGAGAGACATGCGAGCACATACATGCGCAAACACACAATCGCACCCATGCACGCAATACAATCACACCCATACACACAGCCACGCAAACACAATCCCAATTACGCCCACAATCGCACCCACAATCACACACACACACACACACCATCACGCAAGCACGTGCCAGTGCCATGACCTGCTCGATGGGGAAGAGGCCCGCGAAGACCATCGGTTTCGCAGGTTTGAATCCGGGTAGTGCCTCAACAGCTGCGCCCTTGTGGTAAAACGTGTCGCCAACACGCGCCTCGGCGCGCTGCCGCATGCCGCACACGACATAGCCGACCTGCCCCGCGTGCAGTGCGGTGGTGGGCCGCTGTGCCGGGTGCATGATGCCAACCTCCAGCACGTCGTAGCTCGACGTCGGCGAGTTGGCAGAGACAATCTTGTCGCCGGGTTGCAGCGTGCCGTCCATCACCTCCATCAGCGCAATCACACCGCGGTAGTCGTCGTACCATGAATCAAACAGCAGGGCGTGGAAGGTGTTGGTGCGTGATGCTGCTGGTGCAGGCACCCGCTGGACCACAGCATCCAATATGGCAGGCACATTCATGCCCGTTTTGCCCGAGACGCAGATTACGTCCTCAGGGTCAACGTCAAACGTGCTCTGTGAGTGTGTGAGTGAGTGAGTGAGTGTGTGTGTGTGTGTGTGTGTGTGTGTGTGTGTGTGTGTGTGTGTGTGTGTGTGTGTGTGTGTGTGTGTGTGGCGGGGAGAGGTGGTTGTGTATGCAAGTGGGTACATATTGAGTGAGTTCATTCATGTGTTTGAGCAAGAGTGTGTACATTGAGTTGACGCAAACGAGCGACATCTCACAATGCGCATTGGCTGTTCATCTTACCGCCATCTGATCAATAGTTCCCTGCACGTTTGCGGATGGAAGGTCCACCTTGTTCACCACCGGTATCACCGTCAACTGGTGCGCGAAGGAAGGCGGAGGACGTAGGGGAGAAGGAAGGTGAGGAGGAAAGGGAAGGGTGAGGTTGGGCATGCACGATAGCTAGGAGGGCAGCCAATGCGCTGCATGCACAAGCACGCGCACCAAACACAAGAGCCAAATCTGCTGGATTGGACTGCTGACAAAATGGATGAAGCGACAAGAGATGGACAGATGCACACACACACACACACACACACACACACACACACACACACACACACACACACACACACACACACACACACACACACACACACACACACACACACACACACACACACACACACACAGACCTTTGCTGCGCTCAAGCACCTGCGCGCTGCTCTCATCTTCTTCTTCACTGTTGTGTTCACTATGTTTTTGCCTGTCGTGTTGTCGGGACTACCAGCCATAAACAAGATTTTCTTGTTTTGAGCGCTTAAATGCGCGCAATTTATTTGAAACGCTGGTGTCGAAGCGGTGTTTGTTTGTTTATGTTTGGGGTTGTGCATTGTTGCTTGCTTCCTTGCTTCTGCCTGCTCGTGCCTTGCTTGCCTCATTGATCGTTGTGGTTTCTTGTTCTTTCGCTCTCATCCCACCTCATCACATCAGCACATCACCCACCACCAATCCACCAACAACAATAACGGAAGCAAGCCAACAAGCACACCATTGTTGAGAGCTGGCACATCTTGCATCGAACAATCACGGCGTGTCCCCAACAGCACAGCCACCTCACCGACTGTGTTTCTTTGCTTTCCTTTTGCTCCTGCACTGTTGCCTCGTGTTGCTTTGTTTACCGTCTCTGATTGTTCAGGGCGTGCAGCATCAAGCAAGCAAGCCAGCAAGCGAAGAAAGACCTCTTGGGCAGCACAGGAGGCAATACATTGCAGTGCACGCCGCACAGCATCCCAACATAGCCCGCCACTTTCATTCCATTGCTTCACAAGCAAGCCACCAAGCCAGCCAGCCAGCCAGCTCGCCCTTACAGGAACGGCTGCTTTGAGGCACACCAAGTGGGGTTTGTTCATTCAAGCGCAGTAAGCACCTGCAGGCAGTGGCACTGCCGCCAACTTCTCCCTTCCCACGACCGTTCTCCTCCCCTTCCCACGACCGGCGAACCCACGTCCCTCCTCCACGTGACGCCCCAGCAACCATGCCTGGCCTGGGCGTGCTCGCATACCTGTGCCGCGGCGTGTCGACAGACCGCAGCACGTATGACCCCAATGAACCCAGCATGATGGACTTTGTGCACTCGGAGGACCTGCTGGAGATGATCTTCGAGCACCTGGACGTGGTGTCTCTGTCGCGGTGTGCTCGCGTGTGCCGCGCCTTTGCCAACACGCGCTGGCCCATCATCAACCTCAGCCACCGCACCCCGCGCATCACTGGCCAGCAGCTGGCCACCATCATCGCCAAGCGGCCACACGTGCTCATCCTGCCATCTGGGTTCGAGCTGGACGAGCAGACGGCAGCTGCGCTGCAGCGGTTCTCTGGGCGGGAGTTGACACTCAAGTTCACCATGCACGCCAATGACGACGTCACCCCGTTCCTCGGCCCGGCCCTGCACGTAAGCGCATGTGTGTGCGTGTGTTTGTATGCATGTGTGTGTTTGTATGAGTCTGAGTGTTTGTATGCATGTGTGTGTGTGTTTGTCTGTGTGTATGTTTGTGTGTGTGTGTGTGTGTGTTTGTGTGTGTCTGTGTGCACGTACAGTGGTGTGCTTCTCTCTACCTGCCCTTCTCTTCCCTTCGTGCCATTGGTTCATAAATGACACCGCTCACCCCAACACGCACCTCATGCACCACCGCCATCATCGCCACCTCTGCCACCGCGACCACCACTGCCACCGCCACTAGCGTTTGACGCACCTGGACCTCTCTGGCTCCATCACAGACAACGAGTGCGTGCGGCACGTGGCGAGCAGACTGCCGACCATGGCGTGTCTGCAGCACCTGCTGCTGGAGGACAACGGGCTTGACTCGCGCGATGTCGACGTGCTGTTTAACGCAGTCGAGACACTGCCGCTCGTCACGCTCAGCCTCAGCGACAATGAGCTCGGTGATATTGGCGCCACGACGCTCGCGTCCCACCTGCGCAAGATGCCTGATTTGCAGCACCTTGGCCTCGACAATGTGGCCATGTCGTCCACAGGCCTGCACACCATCATGAAGGCGTGCCCGAGCGTCGCCACCCTCAAGATCTCAGACAACGACATCGACGCAGCACTCACAAAGCCGCTTGCAGAGGCCATGCAGGTTTGTGTGTGTGCAGGTGTGTGTGGTGTGCATGCGTCTGTGTGTGTGTGCAGGTGTGTGTGTGTGTGTGTGTGTGTGTGCAGGTGTGCGTGTGTGGTGTGTGAAAGCCAAATCATAGTCATTTGTTCCAACGTGTCATCCCATACCATCTCCGCTCATGGTTGCGCGTGCACAGGTGTGCTTGCGGCATTTGGAGCTCAAGTCCACG